CGCGGAATCGAACTTTCCGACAAACAATTCTACTAGCCATCGGCAGAAATTGTATATGGTCCGTTCTCAGGTTTGAGGCTGACGCAGAAGTTTAGTTCATATTAGATCTTGGGTCTGAGTGGTGGCTCCAAGCTAGCCCCGTATACAGACCTCTCGAGAGTGAAGAAAACCGTTTAGCTTCAAGACAAGTCACCGTGAATTGTGATGTGATTGGATCACGTGTCCGTTTGCACAGTCTTGCTCAAACTGCCAGGGTGGTGAATCTGAGAGCTTTCTTCTCGTATACCATGTTCTTACTTTTCTCTTTTCCAGATGGCCTCTTGCTGTTTGTGCCAAACAAAGACAAAAATCCGCGTGAACTTCAGTTCCGCGGAACTGGCTGGAATTCAAAACGAACTTCGATCGGAGTCTGGACCGTTTGTAGTTTCCCCGGGACGAGCTGGAGAGCTCGAGGGGATGCTGGCACTCGCAGACGAGATATCAGAGAACACGATTCTGTGATAGCTCGTATCCAAAGCGAGCTCTTGATCATTCAGGCGCAGAAACAGCGACTCGAGGCCCAGCGGGCCAAGTTACGTGCTTTGCTGTCCCCAGTGCGGAGGCTGTCGAACGAAATCTTGTCGTACGTCTTCCAGTATGCGTGTGAACAAAATATTCTCCAGAGCTACCCTTTGCTAGCGGACGAAAGACATTACACCAAACTCACATCCCCCGTCATCACCTACCTCCCTGCAATGGCAATCAGCTCCGTATGCTCCCGCTGGCGCGAACTTGCCCTGTCGTCGCCTGTCTTGTGGGCGAACCTAGCGGTAGAGATGTTCCCTACTGCGCAAGCTCAAACCCACCCGGCTTTGAAGGAACTGTTATCCGATATATGGAAAGGTCGGGTAATTGGCCGTTGAGCCTTGCGCTGGTTATACAGGGTGGGCGCTCTAAAAAGGAGCTTCCGTCACTGATACACCTTACACGGCACACTCAACGCTGGAAAACACTCGAGTACCGTGGAGCGCTCTCCGAGTTGAGCGTACTCTCAGAGTCAGAATTTCCTTCACTTGTTGACTTGGATCTAGCATGGCGCGAGTCTCCTGCCTTGGATCTCTGTGTACGTTCGCCACGACTTTCTGCACTTTCCACCGACCTAGTACCTACATCCAATGCCATGTGCAATCTCCTAGAGCATCTCGATTTTACTATGAGGTTGGCATCACCGCTAGAGTTGACAGAAGCCCTTCGTAACTGTCCCTCTGTGAAACATCTTACACTGGAGATCCAACTCGGATATGAGCCCAGAGAAGATTCATTATCACAGGGCACATGGCGCAACATCACTACACTTGTCATGAAGGAAAATATTGATAATTTATGTTCGAAAATGGTGTTTTCCTCTTTCAACTTTCCTTCCTTGACTTCACTTGATGTGAATGGCGTGTGCAATTCCAGGAAGCCTACCACCTGGCCAGGGAGTGCTTTTATCTCATTCGTCTCAAGATCGTCTTGTGTGCTTACCACATTCGCCCTCTATGGTCTATCTCTCTCCGATTTAGACCTTATTGCGGCTCTTCGAGTCATGCCGTCTCTACTCTATCTCTACATTAACGATGGCAAAGGTATCAATCAACGGGCGCAGCAGAGTCCAATTACTTCGCATCTCATCTCGAGCCTCCAGCCCCAATCCACGTCTATTCCCCTTGTTCCGAAGCTACACAGTCTTCATCTAATATCTCGTTTCAATCAGTCGTTTGATGACCAGAGTTTCGTTAGGATGGTCCAGTCGCGATGGTTTAAGCCTGGTTCGGCTCTGTCTGTGGCGATGTTAGCCGTCGGTAGAGCCAGCATACGGTCCGTCGTTCTTAGATTTCGTCGGCGAGAGGTTGACGCGGAAATCTATGAACCGCTACGACGTTTGGATGAAGCTGGCTTGAGAGTGGTGATTTCTGGATCGAATGGTGTGCAGGTGTGATGTGATTTAGTATCCAGATGGGCAAGAAGGACGTGGCTTCCAAGCAGGATTTGGCCTTGTTGAAAAGATGATAGTCGGCCAGAGTTCCATCGGCTAATGTTATGATATGCATAATGTGTAGCAGGAGTTCTCTGTACAGCAGCTTCTTTGCGTAGTCTGACTCTTCGCGAATGGTTTTCCTCCAATCGAGGCTCGAACAAGCTTTTTATATTCAATTGGGGACGAACGTACTTTTTAAAACGCAAGCAACGTCTGTCCTGCGCGTATTACAAGGCAAAATTGATCTATCGCATCAGCGGTCATCAAGCCGGACTTTGTCCAAGATCGACCATTCTTCAACAGGCCCTACACAATTTACGAGCCAGATCTCGTGCGCTACGAAACTACCAAGCCAGTCATCTTTCCCGCCCTCGACAGCGCAATTCATCTCCACTCCCGCCATACTGTGATTCCTAATTCTGCCGGTATCCTCAAGTAACTGTCTCCATCTCGCCCGTTCGCACTCATCCTTGTCAGTGATGTAACACAGTGAAAGATGCGGATATAGTGGTGTCCTTGGTTCGAGGCTAAGGCTGGTATGGATGTGTTCATGCAGGGAAATGAGTTCTGAGGAAGGCTCGATTACGATGTAGACCGAGCGGAAGAAAACAGAGCCTGTGTCAACTGATTTGAACTTGATTGAAATCGGAGAGTGAGGCAGATATTTTGATATCGATTCTCGTATTTGGTCCAGAGTTAACGGAGAGGATGAAAGAGGTGCAGCGAGAGTTATATGTGGATAGAAATTGGGATAGGATTCCGAAGAACTTGCGCTTGGGTTTGGGCGGATGGCCATTATTCTTTGTAATTTCGCAGAGTCTTCGTCAGAGGGTACAATCCATAATGTCACTAGATAAAGCAGTTGAATATTGAGGTGATTTTACGAGATGGGAAACTGACCCATGATGGAAGTAAATACGAACGGTCGGATAACGCGCGCTATCATGAAACAATGATTAGAATCTCCCATCAGCACAGCTTCCCGAGATGTATATAAGTACAAGTTCAATTTCTTCTTTTCCTTCGAACTGCTGGTCAATTTCGCCCCCCTTTTGCTGGTCAAAAGTTTTCAGTGTAGCTCTACCACTCGAACATGTTCTTTTCCAAAGCCTTCCTTATTGCCGGTCTCGGTATGGTCGCTTATTCAAGACCTGCCCCTGCCCCAGCTTCTATCACTCCAGCCCCAGATGTGCAAGCACTTAGTGCTCGAGACCAGGCAAGTCTTTTCTGTCAAACTGCATTTTCAATCAAATTAAAGTCCTTCCCTATAGGATATCGACGACACTTTCAGCAGAAAATTGAATCATGGTGTAGCCTGGGTCAAAGAGGCAGCGGACGTTGCATCTAGTGTTCTCAGCGAAGCTCACGCAAGTGGCACGGTTCTCCGAAGGGATCTTTCTGCCACTCCCACTAGTACCTCTGCTGGTGCATCTCCGACAGCGCTTGATACTCAGCCGACTCAGCCGACTACAGCCAGCGACAGCACATCTGTTGGCTCGACTCAGCCAGTGCCTTCTGGTTCACGACCTTCCACTACCGTACAGGCGCAACAGCCTACAGCTCGCTCTGTCCCAGAGTATTATTATCGTTAGGCGAAAAGGAACTTGGGCGGAAATGGAGAGAGGATTGGAGTCGGAATCATACTCGTTTGGATCGGATTGTACTTTTTGTAGAGACGTAGAGCCAATGGCATTACATTGAAGGGAACTCCATCCAGAACTAACCGCGCTAGCGTCCACTCAATCGCCTTCGTCGCGTCCTAGGGACACACCAGTAATCTACGAACAGACCTCTCCGTTTGCTTTCTGCGTTTCATGGCTTTCACTTGTTCAATGCCTTTTCATCCCGTTAGGAAACAGAAACACTTCGGTCTAAGTATCGACATAAACTCTAGGAAGCAATCAGCCAGCAGTGTTAAGCGGCAGATCCAAATAGTCTCGTCAAATGGCTATTCCGGTGGCTATTTCACGCATACGCCGCTTATCCAAGTAATCAGAGGTCAAATCAGATCTTTTACTGAGGTTCGACGCCGGCCTTGATCACTAGTGCCAGGATCTTGATCGAAAGAGAATGTAAGTGGTAAATTCGAGTGGAGACAGGTACTTCCCTTCAATTCCGCTCGCTTCTTCACTACTTCGACTCTGATCGAAAATCGCAACCACGCACCGAACCAACGAGACGATGATTGTGTTTGTTGTGTGAGAGCGAGCGAAAAGGCCGGTAAGGAGCCATCGCTCCATCGAAGGTTAACTGAAGGATGTGGTTGGTGTTTTAAACATGTGAGGCTAGGTGCTTCCGGCATGAAACGAGGACAGGATGGAGGAGAGGGTATCTCCAATGAATACTAAAAAGTATTTGAGTAGGATAGGATGAAGACAAGCCTGAATGACGAGTCTGCTGCTGTCTGAGTGTGAAGCTCTTTGATAATTTCTTATTATAATCGCATACATGAAAAAAATAGTTGTTTCTTCACAAATCGAAGCCAGCAGGATTCGAATCTGCGCCCTCAAAGGGGAACAGATTAGCACATTATCAAGGGACGTGTTCTACTCTGTCGCCGGAACCACTTGGCTTTAGCCTCTCATAACCATGATAAGAGTTGATTCTCGTTTCAGAAGTACGATAAGAAAACTTTTGTCTGAATGATATCAGTTGGGTTTGAGTGACGATAAAAGGGAAGAGGACTATGCCAATGCTAATTTTCAATAGCCAAAGGTAGCAGCAGCATGAGGGTGAAGATCTACTTCTATCAATAGGACAAGCATATAGCTACCAAGTTGAGTGCTATTATGAGTTAAAACTTAACCCCAGGGAATAGTAAGGAAGCTTAGTAGCTACAGCCCAAGCCCCCGGAAAGATACTACTGTAAGTAGTACTTCCATTGAGAAGCAGAGGATACAAGGACACCGAAGACGAGCTAGAGCGCTCTGGCTGGGGGAAAAGAGAAAATTCAATGATAAAGTATGAAAAAAGAACAATTGCTAACTTCACATTCAGCAACCGACGCCAGCAGGATTCGAACCTGCGCCCTCAAAGAGGAACAGATTACCAGTGAATGAATGCAAATTCTAATCTGTCGCCGTAACCACTTGGCTATAGCGCCATACAATTGGGGAACGAGGAATAACTGCTGTTCTGCCCTTCAGGTCCCAGGAGTATTCTCTGAATGACAATTGACATTGGTTGGGTTGTGCCACCCTGGGGTGATATACACAGAGAAACACATCAATCTGCCTGACTCTGACATCCAGAGACAGCAGCAACATGAAGATGAAAGCCTCTGAGTTGTTCTAGTATTCTCTACAATGGAACAGTCTATAGGTTATAGCTAGTACCTTACTATACCTCATCTGGGATTCTGACAGGGAAGGTATAGCCCAGCGGCCACCCCCATTGCCCAAAGATACCATAAAATATTAGTTGCTTGAACAAGTGCAGGATACAGCGGCAAGTGCTTTAGTTGGGCTATTAAATTCTCATCAAGGTTACCAGTAATCTTCACATATGAGGGTGATCTTTTGATCTTTGAGTTGATAGAGCAGAGCAAACCTTGAGAAAAAGTCACCGGAAACAATCAAACGCCAAATTGGGATCGACGCCAGCAGGATTCGAACCTGCGCCCTCAAAGAGGAACAGATGAGTGCGAATTCTAATCTGTCGCCGTAAGAGGTTACCACTAACCATCACCGTCTGGGCGCTTAAATTCTTTCGTCGAGCTCATCGTTGCGACGCGCACTGCTTCATTGGTCACAGCTCATAGTTGTACCCTGCGCGTTACTACATCTGTTCCTCTCACAATAAAACTTAACTTGACCGGCACCTCACGAAATCGACTGATTATCGCTTCTGCAAGCTTCTTGACTCCGTTGATCCAAACATTAGCTCGAAGACCACTGGACGGCATCACCGAGTCCTGAAGTATCCCGTGGCTGCATCTCTTTGCAACTATAAAAAAGTTACGACGACCTCTGCGCCTGTACAAAACCAGCGGCCTGTGAAACATTCTGAGACATTTCCATATCTCTGCAGTACTAATGTCCAGCTTGAACCAAGCCGTCCACAAACACATCGAAGACGCGGTGAGGGTGAATAGGGAAAGGTCAGGGACTACTCGACAACGCCAACACACTGTGCCGGTTATTACCCCTACGTCTCAACTGCACCCGACTCGCCCGCCTTCACCGGTCGCCTCCTCTGCCCACTCACTGACCGCTCAATCTTCCGCCAGCTTCAGTCATCGTACAGTGGGCAGCAATTCCGGCTTGCCACCCACGTCCACATCTTCTCAGCTGGATGGTCCTAGCGAGGTCATGAATATTTTGAATCTCACGGGCTGTATGACGAAGAAATCCGAAGGAAAAAAGCCGGAAGGGAAGAAGCCGGAGGTAAAGAAATCTGAGATGAAGAAGCTCTCCCTCAATCCTCCTTCAACCTGCCCTCGCTCCAGTACCCGCCTGGGTCCAGGCTGATCCCCAACACCTCTGGTAGCAAGGAAGCGGCGTCGACAGCCAGGTATCGGTTGGACAGCAACGATCTCCGCCTTGAAGGTATGTTCCGCACGGAGCAGGCGTTGACGAAGGAACACATCCAACGTCTTGATGACACCGTTCGACAAACTGGCGAAAACTTTCGCAGCACACACGATGATCTCGCACAAGACTATAAGGTCATCCATGGCATTGCTAGTGACGTTTCCACTAGAGTCCGGGAGCTCGAGAGAACGAGGGAGTCTTATGACTCCCTCCATAGCCGCGTCGACGAGCTTGAGCAGCTGTTTCAGGTCTCGCAGCAAGTTGCTCCTGACGTCTCCTTTCATGCGGGATACTCCCTTACTCCACCACCAGACCAGAAATCTGGTGACAGCGTGTCCCCAGCATGCTCAGAAATCTTCGAGCGCCTTCCACAGGGTGATGATACCTTCCCGAGCATGTCTCCTCCCTCTCGTCAAGGTACCCCGCCTCTCCTCCAACGTTTCACTTCTCCTCCTGCGCGGTCCAACGAAAATGTTGCTGACTTCACCCCTCTGGACCTGGACATGGCCATGACGCCCCCTTCTCCATGCACACCCTCCCCCTTCGCTGTGCCATTGTCAGGTCGAATCCAGCGGTCACGGTCGCCTCCCCCGGAACGCCCAGCGAAACGTCAGAAAACTCATCGTTTGATGCCGGGTTCAACAGTTCGTGTTTCTACTTCAGATGCCAGCTTTCCCAGCAACATTGAAACACTACGGAAATTCCTCCACACCTGGTTCTTGAGACTCGATAACAACTCACGTCCTCTACGTCGACCGTCATACACACAGTCAAATCCAGCTGGTCTTCCATGAGCCTTCTCATGCATCCGCTTTTGTTGAGGCTTGGAGGCGTCATCGTTCTGAGATTGTCAATAACACTGCTTTCAGCGTGCGCTTGGAATCTCCCTCCGAATGATGGTTAAGAGTGAGGAAGACAACGATTGATTGCGTACCTTCACCTCATCATTACATTTCAGCTAACTGTATTAGTAGTAACTCTAAATTGAATGTTTTAAGCTGTAATTTTGGGGGTCGCCTTCAATCAGATCTTCTTCACTCTCAGTTTTGTGACCTGCTGGACGGTATTCACCTTCTCTGTGCACAGGAGACTCACTTGTACCCAGACGAGGTTTGGCACCCACCGGATAACTATACTATGTTCTCTCAGCCCCGCCCGACTGACTTTTTTGATGACCCTTGGGGAGGAGTTGCCACGTTTGTACGTGCGGATCTCCATGCACACCTCTGGGATGATTTGTGTGGCCCGGATATTGTCACCGTGGAGGTTGAGGGAATCCTCTTCATCAACGCTTACATCTTACCTCGTACTACCCGCACAGACTGGTCCCAATGGACGGATGTTCATCCTTGGGATGCACTGAAGGACGTTTGTACTCGTGCCGCTACTCTGAATAAACCCTTCTTCCTTCTAGGGGACCTCAATGCACGCACGGCATCCCGCAGTCCTGAAAAACCACATCCGATTCGTTCATCCCCAGACACGTCTTCAGATACACGGGGGACTGAGCTGCTTAATCTTTGTGAGACTCTGGACATGACTATCCTTAACGGTTCAGAGGGCATCTCAGGATCACATGCTCGGTGGACCTCCTTCCAGAAACGAGGTCTGACCTATGCTACTTCTGTGGTGGACTATGGTGTATGCTCCACAGCGTGTGTTCCCAATATAGCTTCCTTCGACGTCTCACCCAGGACAGACTGGGCAGACCACGCCCTTCTCTCCTTGTCCATTCTTCTCCCACGGAATACTCTTCCCTCCCAATGGTCTCCAAAACGCAAACAACGACCCGAGTTTCCGCTACCGCTGGTGACTCAGTTGGACCACCTCCTGGATGCAGTGCTCCATACGATTCCACCTGAAAAGTCAGAAGAATTAGGCAAGCTTTTTGGCTTCGGGAATACTGATCCGTCCCTATCTAAAAACCATGGCTTGAGGGTATTCGCGGATGGTTCTTCACTGGATAACGGACATCCCAATGCTGCGGCAGGTGCCGGTGTCTACTTCGGTCATGGGAACATACACAACCGTTCAGCAAGGGTGACAGGCAACCCCACAAACAACCGCGCTGAATTGTTCTCAATACTGATTACCTTGCAGAGCACACCGCTGAACCGTGCGCTAGACATCCACACAGACTCGACATATGCTATTCATGCAATTGTTCACTACTTGGTCAAGAATGCGAAATGCGGCTGGGTCTGTTCTCCTGGATATCGGCTCGATCTGCTCCTATATTCTTTCATCATGTTAGGGGCCATTCGGGCAATAAACACAATGATGCCGCCGACATGTTGGCCAAACATGGGACGTCGTTACCTCTCCCCTGCCTATACTCAGATAGAGATTACTACCATGTCCCGGCACCTATTCCACATACACTTCCAACAGGATATCCCAAGGTTGCAACAGATCTCCCAGTGGACACTACTGAACCCAACAAGCGACCAAGGCGAACGTCTGTTAGCCAACACAGTCACCGGAATCGCTGGTTTAAACAACAACTACAGGATGGGATCCTACAGCGGCTAGTCGAATGTTCCTCAGACTCAGGGGCATTCTGGAGACTGTATAAACGCTTACGCTATCCAGCTCATACTCCATCTACAGTCTCCTTATCCGACCTTATGCAGTGCTTCATACCACGGATGAACCCACCCTTGGATTTGCCACAAGATACACAGGACAGGATGCTCCAGGAATGCAGGCTTTGCGAGAAGACCAAGCAATCTGTCCCGTCGTCATTTCCTGCTCTGAATGAACGTCTCACGGTCCATGATATAGCACGCGCTAAAGCCCATCTTACCTTGTCAAAACCTTCCCGTGCTACAGGTGTAGACGGTTCCTCCTATTCGTGGATCTTGGATCTAGACAATACCATCCTATGTGACCTCTTGAATGCATGTGTTGATGCGGGCGAAGTTCCCACTGCTTGGCTAACAACTTTGATTCGTGCAGTCCGGAAGCATGGTAACCGTGACTTCGCTAAAGCATCGGAGTATCGTGCCGTGGGCCTGGAGAGCTGTATCTTGAAGTTTCTAACTTTAATCATTCACATGAAGCTATCAGATGCTGCGGAGACTGCAGGCATTATACCGCCATCCCAAAACGGCTTCCGGGCACATCACAGAACCAACAACAATGCATTCGTTCTGCGGACTCTCATCGAAGATACCAGATCCAATGGCGAAACTCTTTTTGTGGCATTCGTTGATATTTCAAACGCTTTTCCGTCCACTAACCAACATCGCTTGTGGAACTGCCTGTACAGATACGGCATGACGGGTCGGTACTTTGACTGGCTGAAGACTCTATATGAGAAGATGTCTTATGTCATTGTACAAGATGGCGAGCTCTCAGATAATTTTCAAGCCTTGTGTGGTGTACTCATGGGTGATCCTGCTTCCCCAACCCTCTGGAATCTCTTTCTTTCATCCCTGCATCTCGAGCCAGACCCTGATGATGCTTCCCTTTGTGGAGTTCCGATTTCACATCTGGAACATGCCGACGACATTGCAATTATTTCTCGTACAGCACACGGTCTTCAAAGACATTTGAAGGAACTGGAAGCTTGGTGCGAGGAGAACTTCTTAAAGCTTGATGTGAAGAAGTCAGTGGTCATGATATTTGGTCCCTTGCCTAACCCGATTCCCGGTATTTCAATTTATGGCACCTGTTTGCAGGTGAAGGATGTCTGGCCGTATGTAGGTGTCTGGCTCCAATCGACATCCCGGGATATTTTTGCTGCCCACTATCACAAAAAACTGGAGCTTGCCATTAGCTCATCACGTAGTCTCTTTGGTTGTGAACGCTTAGTTGGAAGACAACGGATTCCTCCTCACATGGCCCGCATTTTGTATCTTGCCCTTGTAGACTGTCATTTAACTCATGGCTGTGACGTTGCCGTGGATGTCGACTCATCTTCATTCCAACCCTTATACAAATTACAACTCCGCCTCCTTCGTCGCATTCTTGGCCTCCCTCATAATTCTCCAATCACTCCTCTTTTTACAGAACTCAATCTTATTCCTCTTCGGACACGCCGCCTGGAACTGTGCCTCAACTACCTCACTTACGCAGTCTCCTTGCCAGATTCAGATCTGGTTTCCCTCGCGTTACAAGCTAACGATAATTTACGCTCAAGGGGCTGCCCATGTTG